ATTGCCCCCCCCCCCGCCCCTGCTGGATGTACACTGAGACATATCCCAGGGTTAGGGTCGCATTTCAGTGCAATTCCTTCAATTTTGTGGGCAACGTTTTTGAAAAAGCCCGTTGCGCATGATTACTAATGAAGTCTTTAGCATGCCTGTCACACGGTACGACTGTTACTGAGAAATGCAAGCCTCGACACGCCTTGCTTAAACTGCCGTTATGGTTAGAAGTGAAGAATGTCATTCACCATCAAGGAATAAACAGTTGTTCCCTGTGGTTTGTTTTTGCTGGCATGCAAGTATTATTCATTTTATAGCTGTCTTACACAGTTAAGTAACATGTATTCTATAATTTTTAAGTTTGTTAGAAACTTTACTGACTTCACCAGACAACATGTATTACAAGTAAGAAACCGTTAAAACATGGGGAGAGCTTGGAGTTTGATGATTTGCAGTCAAATGAAAGATAAATGGGTCTTTTATAAACAGTCTGAAACGAGGAAATTCAGCAAGGCACTTTGAAATGTATTATTTGTATGTATCTAATTTAACTTATTAGGGACACATTACAAATTCATGGCCCAAGATTTAGGGGGAAATGGATGGGAGAAATTAGATGTTGCGTCCACTTTGACTGGAATGAATCGTTAGACCGTGGCATTCGAAGGGGTTATTTAAGGGAATAGGATGAGCAAAGAACTCTTAAATGAATACTCAGAGCTGATGCACTTCAGAATGCTTTGATGTGAGTCACCAGTGATCAGCAGGGACAGACCTCTGAGACTCCTCCACTCTTTTTTAAGAATGCAGCAGAGTTGGCTGAGTGCTCGGCCCCTGTCACTTTCTGTACACGTCAAGCTCAAAGGCTCGACAGCAGCGCACACCGCTCTACCTTTCTCTCTTTGATACAAAGCTGAGAAGACAAGCAGGTCAGCCGGTGCTCTCCGGACAGAGCGTGGGAAGAGAGCGAAAAGAGAGCAAGAAAGGGAAGAAAAAGACAAGTTTGTGGGTTTGCCTGCATACCTGACTAATGACAGAAAGATCAAAGCCACAGCAGAACCCTGACAGCAGGAATGGAGAGCAGAGAGGAGGGAGGAAAGGAAGTAGGAGAGGAGAGGAGAAGGCAACCTTATACGACTGTGATGAAGAGGGAGGGCAATGATGAGATGATGGCAAAAGATAAATGATGTGATTAAGGTTGAAGGAGATGGAAAGCAGGTGTATATAATGATTGCTTTTGGAGTTTATTTTCTCCATTTAGTTTAATTAGTTTCTTCTATAAGGTGACTTTTATTTCTCCACCTTTTTATATCTTCATAAAAATCC